GATAATAGTGGGTATAACTCAAGTAAGTTAAAATCAGAAGTATGGAAACATTTTAGAAAAGAGAAGATCAATAATGAATGGAAGGCAATATGCAATTATTGTAAGAAAAAACTTGGTGGTGCTTCTAAGAATGGGACAAGTCATTTGCGTGATCATTCAGAGAGGTGCAGTAAACGATTTCAAATGGATATTCGTCAACAAGTGTTGCTAGCAAATCAAAGGAAGGCAGATGGAAAATTAACATTAAAAAACTTTTCCTTTGATCAAAATGTCACAAGGAGGGAGCTTGCCAAGATGATAATCATGCATGAATACCCCTTATCAATGGTTGATCATGTGCAATTCAGAAAGTATTCTTACAGTCTCCAACGTTTGTTTGCTATGCCTTTTCGAAATACTATAAAGAGTGATATTTTAAAGATTTTCAGAGAGGAAAAGGCAAAGACAATATCTAAGTTGGAAGCTAATGAAGGGAGAATTGCTATCACAACTGATATGTGGACTACTGATCACCAAAAAAGAGGATACATGGCTGTCACTGCTCATTACATCGATAATCAATGGAACTTACAAAAACGCATCATCAGGTATATTTTATTAAATTGTCTTATTTTGATATTGTTCATTTTTTATTAAGTAATTATTATTATTGAATTAATTATTAAATTAGTGTAAATAATTGATTGTTTAATTAGGTTTGAATATGTGCCAACTCCACATACGAAAGAGGTCATTACTTCAAGTTTGATGAAATGTTTCTTAGATTGGAATATTGATAGAAAACTTTCATCTATTACAGTGGATAATTGTAGTGTGAATGATGGTGTTATTGAGTTGTTAATTGATAGAATTGGTTGTGATGCACTTTTGCTTAGTGGGACTTTTTTTCATATGCGTTGTTGTGCACACATCTTGCATTTGATTGTGAAAGATGGATTAAGTGTGATTGGAGATGGAATTGATAGAATTCGTGATAGTGTCCTCTTTTGGAGTGCTACACCAAAGAGATGGGAAAAATTTGAAGAGGCAGCGCGTCAATTGCGCATTCCAACTTTAAAAAAGTTGTGTGTTGATGTCAAAACACGATGGAACTCTACTTACTTAATGCTTCGAACAGCTTTGTTTTATAAAGATGTCTTTCCTCGTTGTGTGCAATTACATGGTGATCTTTTGTACAAATATTTGCCAACTAAAAATGATTGGATCATTGCAACTGAGATTTGTGAGAAGTTGAAATTGTTTTATGATATCACTGAAGGTTTTTCTGGCACAAAATATGCTACTGCAAATCTTTATTTTCCTAATGTTTGCAAAATCAGATTGGCATTGAATGAATGGATTATGCATACCAATAGAATTATTTCATGTATGGCTGTGAGCATGTTAGGCAAATTTGAAAAGTATTGGAATGATGTGCATGGTATAATGGGTGTTGCCACAATTTTAGATCCAAGATACAAAACAGAGTTGTTGGAGTATTACTTTGAAAAGATTTATGGAGAAAATGCTGAATTTGAAATTGAAAGGATTGTACAAATATGTCGGGATTTGGTTAAGGAGTATGAGGAGAAATTGGCTTTGAAAAAGGAAGAAGGACCTTCTAGTTCAAGCTTTTCATTCTTAGATGGTGTTGATGCTACTGAATTGGGAAATTTGGGAGACTATGATGATTTTGTTTCAAGGAAAAAAAAGAAAAAATCAAAAGTAAAGTCAGAGTTAGATCGCTATTTGGATGAAGAAGTCATACCAAGAAAAGGAGATTTTGATATATTGAATTGGTGGAAACTAACTGGACCTCAATTTCCGACCTTACAACTTATTGTTAGAGATATTTATGCCATACCAGTTTCTACTGTTGCTTCAGAGTCTACTTTTAGTACCGGAGGGAGATTAGTGAGTGCGCAACGTAATAGACTTCATCCATCAACTATAGAAGCTTTAACATGTTGTCAAAATTGGTTATGGGTTGAAGAAGAAGGTACAATAATATATATTATGCAATTTTATTTTTTATTTTAGCATATTGTTAGTTATTATATTTTGTTGTTATATATTATTTGTTAATAGTTTATTTTTTTATTTGTAGGGTCAATTTTATTAGAAGAAAAGTATTTTTACGAAGATGTTGATGAGAGTGAGATTGAGGAAAAGATAACTAGTTTGGTAAATAATATTATTTTTTTAATTAATTCATTTTTATATTATTATTTTTAAATATATTATTTTATGAGATTTATTTATTCATCTTATTGTTTTATTTTATAGGACTAGTGTGGTTACAGGAGAATGATGATATGGAGCTTAGTGATGATGGAATGATTTATTATGGTCTTGAAAGATTTTTATCATGTTGGATGAAAGGATGTTCAAACAGTTTAGCTTTTATTGTGGTGATTTAAGCTTTTGATGTTCATCTTGTATCATGTATTATGTTTAAATTTAGTTATTAACTTATGCTTGTTTAATATTTGAATTTTAGTTTACTAAGTTTTATATATTTCATAATTCCATCATCTATGGTAAGAATTTGTGAGTTTGAATTTACTATATTTTATGTATTTTATAATTATATTATTTATGATGAGAATTTATGAGATTTTTACTAGATAAAAAAATAGTATGTATTAAGTTTGAATTTATGAGTGATTATGTTAAATTTGTTAATGCTTGTAATATATTTAGATTATAATTTATTACATTTTTGGTAAATTTAAATAGGTAGTATATTGAATTCGGGTCGGGTCGGGTTAAATTCGGGTAAAAAATATTCTAGCGGGTCGGGGTCGGGTTTTTCAATAACAACCTTCGAGCGGGTACGGATCGGGTATCGGGTAAAATATTGAAGCATCGGGTCGGAGGCGGGGAAAGCAAAAAACCGCCCCGCCCCGCCCCGATGCCAACTCTAATGATTATTTATTAGTTCTTCCTGTAATAAAAAATAATTATTTATAGATTCGAGACATGATAAGTGAGATTTTTATTTTTTTAATAAAAGATTAAAATAAAAAAATTTATTAAATACATTGGTATGAGATTTTTTTAATTTAACAAATAACATTATAATTATAATATATATTTTTTAGTATAAATTTTAAAAAAATTAATTTATAAAAAATAAAATATATGTTATCAAATAATTTCTTTTAAAAATAATGAGCCCTATATCTCATTTCGCAAGCACATAGGGAAGGCAACAATACCCGAAATCGATAGGTTTCGATCCAACTCGATCATTTAAGGTCAGTTTTTTTTTGAAAATCAGGTATCGGGTCGAGTAGAATCAGGTAGCATTAGAAGAATTTCGGGTTCGGATCAAGGTCGGGTTTTAGGCAAATCCGACCTGATATATATAAAAAAATTATTTTTTTAATTAATTAATTAATTAATTTTATATTTATATTTAAAATAATATTTTATTAATTTAAGGTCAAATTGAGTCGAATTTGATTTTATACAATATCAGGTCAGATCGAATTTGAGTATTAAAAATAAAAAAATTTGTCGGGTCAAGTACATATACGAATTTTATATGTTTAAAGTCGGATCGAATTCGAGACGAGCAAAAATCAATTTCGATCCGACCTGTTGCTATCACTACACACACATGTCACTCTTGACAATAATAACCATTATTTTAACTACAAAATGTTTTGTAGAATATAATCAACATACCTTTTTTAAATTAAGGTTTTTTATTTTAATTTTTTCATGTCTTTTTATAAAATAAAATAAAAATAAAATAATTAATAAATTATTAATTTTATACTAATGATGGAGTATTTAAATCTTACTAGTGAAATAATTTATTAATTTTTATAAATATACTTTAAAAACTAATCCTTAACTTTGTGGATTTTAAAAACATTGATTTATATAAAAAAATCTGTGGTTTTAAGAAAAAAACCATCCCCTGATAACTTTAATGATTTATACTCATAAGTTATAACTAATATCTCGATATAAGCAATTTTAAGGTTTTAAGATTAATTGAATTTTTAACATATTACATTTGCACCCTACCAAACGAAATCCAATGATAATTTTACAATTTGCTGCTTTACTCTTTTAGCGTACGATTCCGCGTTGCTTTGTCTTTCTTCTGTCACTCCGTACCCCACCAAATGCAATCCAAAGACATTTTACAATTTGCTTTACTCTTTTAATGTACCATTCCTCGTTGCTTGCGGTGGACCGAGAATATTTACTCACTGTCATACATAAAAAATTTATTGAAAAAAGAACAGACTTATAAAATTGATAAAAGGGAAACTGCTTTTACTCTTTTTTTAACAAAAATTCGAAAATAAATAAATTATTTAATCCGTTATAATAAAATATATCATATTTAATAATTTAAAATAAATAATTATAAGTTAAATATTTAAAATAATCTCAATAAATAATTATCAATAAAAATATAATCGATCGAGTTCGAATTGATATAATATTAAACTTGAACTCGAATTCGAATTCAATTCGAAATTTAAAACTTAATACTTGATTCGAACTCAATTAAATTTTATTTTTTTAATTCAAATTTAATTCGAGATAAAAATTAAGTTATTCGAGTTCATTCGATTAATATATAAAAATAAATTTAATTTTTTATATTAAATAAAAAATTTAATTATTTATGTTTAAATTCGAACTGAAATTTTAAGATATTTTATTAATTAAAATAATAAAAATACATTTAAATATAAAAATTTAATCAAACTCAATAACTATTCGAATCGAATATAAAAATATTTTAATTTAACTCGATCGATAAATCAAATTATTTTAATTCAAACTCGATTAAATTATTTGAATTTTATTTTAATCTAATTTAAATAATTTATAAATATCAATATATTATTTATACTCTTAATTGTCGATAAAATTCGAACTCAAAATCATTTAATCGAAAAAATGATACGGACGATTGAATCGCTGCTTATTGATAACTGCTTTTACTGTGTTCACAATTATTCAATATTCTCATTGCATTGCATCAATCTGTAATTCTCCTTTTGCTTGACTCCTTTGCCATATGATGGTTCCGCGTTGCTTCTCTTTCTTTTTCACCTTGGAGTCTTTTTAGTTGCGTTCATTATTCACTTTTTTTTCCTACTGTGTTACAGACTCAACATCACAAAACCTTCTTGTTCTCTGTTATGGCTTCCTCTTCCTCTGCTTCTGCTTCCTTAACTCAAGCAAAGCATCATGTTTTCCTGAGTTTTAGAGGTGAAGACACACGCAATACCTTCCTCAGTCACCTATATGAAGCTTTGAAAGGAAAAGGGGTTGGAGCTTATGCTGATTTCAAAGAACTTCCAAGGGGAGAGGAAATTTCTTCCGCACTGTTGGAAGCAATCGAAAAATCAATGATTTCCGTAATAGTTTTTTCTCAGACGTATGCTACTTCATCATGGTGCTTAGATGAACTCTCCAAGATAATGGAATGCAGGGATTCACGAGGACAACTTGTGGTACCCATTTTCTACCATGTTAACCCATCCGATATACGAAAACTAAAAGGGAGTTTTGAAGAAGCTTTTGTTGACCATGAAAGAAACAGGATAGACAAGGTTAAGGGGTGGAGACTCGCTTTGACTAAAGCTGCCGGTTTAAGTGGGTGGCACATTGCTGGAGATAAGTAAGTGTTTGTTTTTCTTACTCTAAGCTTCTTGCACTAAGTTGGTTAATTTTCTTTTGAATTTTTTTGTTTTAAAAAATTTCCCTTAAGAAGCGTAAGTTTTGTTCATATAATCTTCATTACCTTAGGCTTAACTCATTTCTTTATTTTTGGTTATTCGATAGGCCTGAGCCCACAGTCATTGAGGATATTGTTAAAGATATTGTAAACAAGTTGGATCGGTTGTCTAAAGGTGATTGCGAAGGACTCATTGGAATATTTCCTCGTATGGAGCAAATCAAATCACTGTTGTGCATTGGAGGGGAGGATGTTCGTATTATTGGGATATGGGGAATGCCTGGTATAGGCAAAACAACTCTTGCTCAAGCTATATATGATGAAGTCCGTGGTCAATTTGAAAGTTATTATTTCTTGGCAGATGTTAGAGAGAAGTTAGAAACACCTGTTGCAAATGCAATCACTCTGCGGGATCAACTTCTTTCCCAATTATTAAACCAGCACGGCCTCCATATCGGTACTCCTAGAATGCCCTTTCTCATTAAGGATAGACTCCGTCGTAAGAAAGTTCTTCTTGTCCTTGATGATGTCAATGATTGGGACCAATTAGAAAAATTAGAAATTAGCCATGACCACTTTGGTTCTGGTAGTAGAATCATTATAACATCCAGAAACAAACAAGTCCTTATAAATGGATCAGTTGATGAAACGTACAAGGCTAAGGGATTAGGTTACAATGACTCCATTAAGCTTTTTTCGCTGCATGCCTTCAAGCAAAACGGCCTTGTTGATGATTATAAGGATGTATCAAATAAGTTTTTGGAATATGCTAAAGGCGTTCCGCTAGCTCTTAAAGTCTTGGGTTCTACTGTTTGTGAGAAGAACAAAGCATATTGGGAAAGTGCATTGAATAAAAAAGAGAACAAGCTTGGCATGCATGATTTGCTACAAGAGATGGGTAGGATAATTATCAGTTCAGAATCTCGATGGGCAGAAGAATGTAGTAGATTATGGAATTCAGATGATGTTTGTAAAGTGTTAAAGAAGGGCAAGGTAAGAGCTAACTGAACTAACTTTTCTTCTTTTTTTCTTGCTCATCTTGACTTGATAAATGTTTGATGCATTACGGTAAATTATTGTTTGCTGTTGATTATAGGGGACGAAATCAGTGGAGGGAATATTATTAGACCTGTCTCAAATTAATAATGAAGTACAGTTACATCCACGTGCTTTCGCAAGGATGCCTAATCTTAGAATTATCAAATTCTATGATCCTACTTTTTCTGGGAAGGGAGGTATGTTGGTTCCTTCGCACAAAGGTCTTAAATCTCTTCCTGATGAGTTAAGGTATTTTCATTGGGAGAATTGCATGCTGAAATCTATGCCGTCAAATTTTAGTCCGAAGAATCTTGTTGAATTAAGATTAAGTGGTCGCAATTTTGAACTACTTTGGAATGGAGACCAGGTATTCTTTAACATTTTATTTTCATAAAAAAAAAATATTTATTGTTTTTAAATTTTATTTTTTGTAGTACCCTATAAGTTTAGAGGCTTTAAAGTTTAAACTAATCTCATATTGTTTCTTGGCTTTCATTGCACAGAATCTTGAGAATTTAAGAGTGCTTGATCTTTCGGATTGCAAGAATTTAATCAGGATCCCAAGTTTGTCAGCATCCAAAAATATTGAACAACTGAAAATTAGTGGGTGCGAAAGCTTGGTTGAACTCCCATCCATGGTTCATTTGACATCTCTTTGCTTTAGCCTACTCGGTTATGGTTTAAAAAATTTGAAGAAATTTCCTGAGCTGCCACAGCATATCGAAGAGTTGACTTTAACATGCACTGCAATAGAAGAAAT